GTTGGTCAGTAGTAGTCCAAATTCAATACGAACGTTTGTTTCTTGAAAATTTGATCACGATTTAAATACAGTATTTACTTTTAATATTACCGATATGTCATCGAAAAGAAAACGTGTTGTATTATCATTAAAAGACAAATTAAAGTATTTGTTTCGATTATCCGGATTTTTCCTTATCCGGAGTACCCAATTAGTCCGGATAATCGAGGTTTTACTGTAGATCCAAAACAATTAGTTGTACTTAAAATTTCAAACTGGATTCAAGAATTTACCTTTTTAATGTATCATTTAATGTATATTATAGCCCACAGTATTACTGTATTTTTATACAATGAAAACTTAGATGAAAATGTGATGGGATGTTGACAAAGAGAGCATATTAATCAAAATCAATAGAATCAGTAAATGAATAGATATTCATTTATTTGAATATTTACTTTATTTAAATATAAGTACTGTATAATCAGTTATAAGCGAAACAGCAAAGGCAAGTATAATAACTAACTTTAGTAATATTAAGCTCAGATAAATACTGTAAATTGCAAACCGCTTTTTGATGACTCGTGTTCTTTTTTAAAAATAAGAAGAATGAATGATATTAACACAAAAATCTGTTGTTCGGAATATCATACCAAAGACATTCAGAATTCCGTTGATTAATACGTTTAATCGTATTAATGAAACTGTATGGGATATTACCAATAAGTAGAAACAGCTTACCCGCATATAACTGAGAATATTATATTATAATGAAATCCGATTAGTCATTTGATAAAATAATAATATTTTATACAGAAATAAGTATCCAATTGGAGGCAAATAAATGATATAAAATTTATGCTATACTGAATTAATATTAAGTATCAAAATTAACATAACCAAAATTTTATCGTCATCATATACAATTAGCAAACATTGTGAATATTTGTGTTATTTTATATAAATGATTCTATAAATATATTTAAATATTTTTCTTTTTCAGGGACTCGAATTATTCTTAATAATATTCCAGGAATCAGATATGTATTGAAATAGATATGACTACTAATTAACATTATTTCAACCAGGGAATAATTTTGCCACTTAAACTGAAACAAGAAAATGAAATGGTTTATCCTCCTGTCGGCAATTCGTCAGAATATTCTTTCATTGTAATTAAAGATTTAATTATTCACATGGGAGCGAGCTAACGCGTTAATGAGTTTAACAAGTCTTTCAAATCAAAGCTGAATAGATAAATTTGTATAAATTCTTTCTAAAAATTAGTCATTTATTCGAATATTTACTAAACTGTTTTCACTTAATTATCTTTATTAGAAATAAAACTTAAATTGCCAATTTTAGATAAAAAAAACACAGTAGTTATTTTTATTTTTTAACATACTTATCCATTTTTGATAATATTTCGTCAAGAACATAGAAATTCACTCGATATGGTATAATATTTCTTTTCGATCCAAATAGAATTGGCTCATAACGCGATATCACGTACTTACTTAATGTCTTTCTATATAGTTTGCTTGAAATCATAAAATTAAAACTTATGGAAGTTATATACTATACTTGATCAAATAATAAAAATCTAAATTACGTAACGTGTTACTTAAAACTTATTGATAAACTATGGAATTTTTATACATAATGAAATTAATTCCAAAAATTATACACGACAAAATTTCTTTGTTAATAGCCAAAAATTTAATTTTACATCAATGTGACATTATCGATGTTATTTATTTATTTTTTTACGTTTTCAAAATGAGGAAAAATCTACTATCTCTAAATGATATTTCGTTCTGCAATGATGCACACATTAAAAAACTTCGTTTTTATATAACTTCAGTTAGTTCATATTTTCTGAAATCTCATATTGATTTTCTCTTATTCACAAATAACATTTTAAATTCTGTAAAAATTCGAAAATATCTAGAAAAAATTAAACATAAAATCCAGGCTACTATCCTATACTATTTCGCAGTCGTTTTTTCCGTTGTAATATACGTTAAAATAAAGACATTTTTTCGACAGAAAATGCCACTACTGTTTATAGATAAATAATGAAGAAAAATAAATAACTAAATAAAATTAAAAACAATTTAAAATGTTAAGTAACAGTTTTGTAACTTTATACTTTTCTAATATTTAATACTGAAATACATAAAATACTCCTTTTATTTTTAAAAGGAATATTGAATAATAACAACAAATAATTAATAAATTTTTATGTTTAAGTCTATAAATTCTGAAATTTTAATTACTTTTAAACAAGTTTCCTCTACATATTTTTTATACTTTGTTATTCTTTTGTAAATTGGAATATAATAAACAAATAAAGTAAAAGTATGTAGTATATTGATTTATTTTTAATGGGATTCATTTCACTGTTCATTGTACTGGAGATCAGGGTTATTGTATGAGTAATATCACTTGTAAATTAAACTTAAATAAATAATGCTATTATTTAAATAAAAATGAATTACAATTCTAACAGTTTAAGTTGAAAGAACACTTTCAATCATAATTAAATTAATGTTAATAATTAATTAAGTTCTGAAAGCAAGGATCAGACAAAGATCTGTGTAACATAACTGGCAATGCTACCACAAGGTAAGTGGGAGTTGTGGGTTCGAGTCCTGCTTCAGGCTGATTCTTTTCTTTCAGAACACTTTCAATCATTTTTTGATATAAATTAATTTCATTTTATCAATTTTTTTTATTTCTCCATATTGTTACATATTAGTTTTTGGGAAAATGAAATGAAAATGATAAATAATTTTAACTATTACATAATGTAAAAAATGTTTCATTTCACTTTGTATTTATTTATTAGCTATTTAATATTAAACATTTAACACACATTTAAAACGTATAAAAAGTTTTCTTCTTTTACAAATGTCACATGTTAAGTTTTTGTCATTATTATTCAATATCTAAAATATTATAAACAAATATAAAATTTATGTAAATTAAATGGCAAAGAATACAAACCTTCTTCAAAAGCAGATTGTAAGTGATGGACTGTTGTCAGCTGAAAATAAAGAAATCATCAAAATATACTCTTAAAATATCACATTTCATTGTAAGTAAATATTCACTTAATCTTATAAATTGCAAGTTAAATATATAAGATTATTTTTCATAATATTCATTAAAACATGATTAAAATAAAATAAAAGTTTAACTAACTTAAAGAACTTAAAACTTGCTCAACTTAGCAGAATAAAGAATAAATGCATTAAGCTTATATCATGGTGTCAAGATTTAAATATTGTAATGAATTTTTTAAAATTTACTCAAGTAATTATTAATTTAAGAAATCATTTGCATAAATAAATCAATCTGAATTGAAATGAATAAATATAAACTTTAGAACATTGGTATCATAGGTTATGTTATCAGTTCAGAATTATTCACTTACTTTATTTTTCATTATGTTAACTTTTATTTATGCATATTTGTAAAATTTTGGAGTGATTTACGGATAAACTCTCTGTCAGATGGTAAATAATTATATATAAATTCAATGAATAAAATTTATTCAATTCAAAATGTCTTTTAGAAAATAAACTATAAATTACTCATTATTCAAGTAACCAAATATCTAATTCTATTCATGATAAGACATGATTCAGACTGTATAAAGTTCATAATGAGATAATAAATACAAGAATTATTTTTAGCAGATGACTGTCTATCTCATTTTATCTAAAGAATTCACTTATAAATAAATAATTATACATTCATTAATCGAATATTTAATTTACAAAAAACAGTGTTAGGTAATTATTACTTTAAAATTTAATAATTAAATCTAAATTAATTTACAAATTCTGAAGCATTTAAATAATTTTTATAAATAAATATTTAATTTCTTTAATATTCATTCTTTTAGGTTAATTTTTTATTTTTAAATATTACATCTAGCAATATCAAATAACCTTATTACAAAACTCATTTCTAAAAATAATAATTAATAATTTGCTTAAATTACAAAATTTTATTATAGAGTTATATTACATTACATGATGTAACAATTGTTTTAATAATTGTAACAATTAATATTTTGATAATTCAAATCAAGATAATTTATTTTCTCCTTAAATATCAAGATAAATTACAAAGTTTTACATAAAAATAATTTAGAACAACATTCAATGTTAATAGGAAACATACTGATTTGTAGATTATAAATTATGAAAAACTAGGGTAGTATATACTGTCAAAAATACTTGTGTAAATAAACGTTTTCAGTAATGCCAATAGACAGTTGTGTTGTTAATTTTGTAACATTACTTGGCATCTAATGTTTTTACATTTTGTAACTTGGAACAATCTTGTTTTATGCAGGACTGATATATGCAAATTTAATTTCACAGACGTCAAATGTTACGTTGACCCAATTCTAGTGCCACTGAATCTATTTCTTAAGTCAGTAAACTATGCTACTCAAGCTTCCGACAATCTGAACACAAAGACCTACTGAATTCTATTCACTGGAGTGAATATCCTAGTTTGCACGTATCTCAGTAGTATATTCTATACAGTATAATAAAAACTTGCTCTGTATATTCAGAAATACTAGACCAAAATATTAATTATAGTAAAAATACAAGTAGAATGCTTTAAACACATTTTAACTGGGACTAAGTGAGACTGTCTACTTTTGGGATGTTCGAATGAGCTCAAACCAGTATCCGGAGCATAGCTGAGGCATTTCACAGGAAGGCCTCAGCTATGCAGTGCATCTATCCTGACAAAAGATGCGACTGTTTCGGCAAGCAACTAACAGCCAACTTAGAATGATAATATTTTTTAGTTAATTATGAATGATTGCATAAATGTCTAGGACAATCATCTGGAACTACTATGAATGTAGCACAAATTTATGAAGAATTTTATTTTACTTTATACTTGCCGAAATGCAACTCCTGTATAAAAACAAAACCTTCTTGTATGTAAATTTTATATATATTTATGATGCAAAAATCTTTTATACTAATAATTGACTAAAAGAAAGTACCAAATTTCATTCAAATCTATTTTAAACTATGAAGAGACAAAAATTAAGATTTAAGACAAAACATTTTAATTTTTTTCTATTTATTTTTTTATAAACAAACAAAAAAACTAGAAAATGCTGGTATAAAAAAATTTAACTTTATTTAATATACTTTAAAATTGTAATAAATAAGTAAAAAAATTAATATTTAAAATTTTGCAATATCTTATGTTTGATAAAACAAACATATCTTAAAAATTTCAAATATTTGCTTATCAAAAGATAATTTTTTTAAATAAAAAAATCCAGCATAAGCAATGAAGTGTTGAAAAAATTCATTTAGATATGTTACGTTTGTTACTGAATTACACGCAATTTAATATATTAAATTATGTCAATGACTTAATACAATAGTTGACTAATCAATTCAAAAACAAAAAAAAAAAGGCAAATTCATTAATTTTCAATATATTTTGATTTCTTCATACTTTATCTAGATAGGTTATTAGAATAAAATGATTTTAAATGTTTCACTTATCATTCATTTTGATAACCTTGTATCCAATTTTCAAATTATCTACCCTAATAAAATATAGTTGATAGCTTTCATATTTTCAATTAGATAACACCTTCACAATAATTTCAATATATTATAATTGAAATATTTCAAAACTAATAAAGTAATATTAATACAGTATGTATATTCTAGTATGAGAGAAGCTGTCAATCAGTCATATAATTAACAGTTCAAAGAATATTACAAGCATAGTATTAAAAATGTGATTTGAATGATGGAATAAATGTTAAATTCTGATTGTAATTATATTAAAAAATAAAACATTTTCAAAATAAATAAAATTAATTTATATAAAATCAAACTTTAATATTTTATTAGTAAAATTATTGTTTCTGATATAATAACTTTATAAGAAATAATACGTGTATATAAAATTATGAAACTATTGCAATATTTATTTATTGCAGTACTTAATGCAATAAATAATTATTTAAACAGAAATAATGATTACTGCAATAGAAAAAAGACTTTCGCATGATATATTATTATTTTTTAAATGTTAACTATTACAGTTTTTAATAATTTTCTAAGGGCAAAGTTTTTATGTTATTTTGAATGTTTTTATGTTATATTCAAGCATGTAAATATTCTAAAAATAACTTTCTTCTAATAAATTCTTAATGAAATAAATCAAGATTATTAATGCCGTTTATATATAATTTATGAGATACTGTACTTTATGTAATTTTTATTTGAAATAAATGTATTAATTAATTAATAGGAAAAAATATTCAAAATTGTCAATTCAAATAAAATTTAGCATTTGTTGAATTTCTATTCTTATTAAGCCTAGGAACTAATACATGATTTTCTGTTACATGATTGTTTAGTCACAAAAATGAAACACACAGTTTTTAATACAAATACATGCATAGTCTGCCAAATAATTGCAGTGATTAAAAAGATGCAACCAGACCTATTTTTAGATGAGAAACTCATATGCAATTTTCTGTCATGCATCAGAAATTGCATGTGTTCATTCCTAGGGTAAAACTTACTAGTTCATGTTAGAAACATTAAATGAATAATTTAATTTAATTAATATAAAATAATATAATAGAACAAAAATATCACATGATAAATTAGCAATATAAATCAACAGCTAAGTAATAACAAAATATTTGATTACTCACAATACAAGAAACAATTACTACATATATTAGATTTCACCAATTATTGCAAAAGTTTAAATTTCTAATAAAAATATTTTGTATGGATGATTTAACAGTTTCAATTCTTAATTACAGTTTTATACAGTATATTTTTCTTTAAATTGGTGCAACTACACTTTTGTACTGTACATGAAAATAATTTGTAGAAAATTTTATTAATTTTTTTTTTTCTTACCATTCTGGAATTAATTACTGAATTTAGATCAGGTGCCTGATATATTACTCCAGCTAAAATGTAATAATCTGCTAAAGGTGTACCTGTAATAATAATATGAATTATATCAAACAGTTATTTTAACAAATATTAAAATTCTAAATTTGTTCTAGTTAACTTACATTGAGTTGGAGAATGCCTATGTTGTTTTCTAATAACATATAATATTGGCTGTTGTACATGTAATAAAATATACTCCAATCCAGTCATATTACTACAATTATAATCATTATATTTAGTTAATGTTAATAATTTTACAATGATATTAATGACAATTATTACATAACTAACTCACTTAAGTTGTTCAGGACTGAGCCTCTGCATTTTTACAACTTCATTGTTACAAGTTCGATCATAAAATGGATTACTTCTTTCAGAGAAATAATCAAGAACATTATTTGGATTCAAGTAAGGTACTAAAGCACTATCATGCCAAGATATTTCTAATGGATTTTCTGAAAATATATGATATTCTCTGATTAATATACAGATTTATGAGAAAGTTATGAATGTTAATAATAATAAAATATTTATTTTTTATCGTGCATGTAAGAATTTATGTAAATTAATAAAATTTATTGCAACTTAAAACATTCACTCTTAAAAAATGATGTGTAACATTTTGTATCTTGATATGATGTACAATCTGTCAAAAACATCATGAATTAAAATATATCATTTAGTCATTGTTGACACAAATAAGAAACTAAATGGAAAATGAATTATTTAAATGTTAAATCATAGGAACTTTATTTAGCATTCATATCATTCATGTTTTCTGAAGTCCTCAATACATACTTTCTTCTCTAAATTTTTTTTATTTTAAAAATTAAAAAAAATTATTATTAACTTATTGGAGAAAAACGGCATTTATTTTTTATTTTAAAAAAACGTGAATGACAACACTCATTAATTTTGTGATTCGTGTTTTCTAACATTCAATCTTCAAGTCATTTTTTTAAATTTTAAATTTGCTATTTTGTTATAACAGATAAAATTTATTTAAACAGCATTATTGATATATGGTTCTATTTAAAAAAAAAAAAACATAGTAAATATAAGGACAGTTTTTTTTAAGACAGAAGTTTTTGAATTTGCTTGATTGGATAAAAGCAGTAAATATTTGTTGTTTTTATCCATCAACAACAATTTAATCTGTTTTTACTGTCACAACTAGGTGCATAGACAGACACTGGGCATTGAGAAATGCCCAGTGTCTGTCTATGCACCTAGTTGAGACAGTAAAAACAGAAAAAAAAAGACACACCATTTCAGAATACGCAACAATTTAATCCTTCAATATTTCCATAAAATTAATTTATAAACATAGAATAACATTAAAATACAAGGGTAGACATGTCAATAATTCCAGTTCAATATGTTTTATTGTCCCAGAAACTGTTTTTGGTCCTCTTGTTAGGACTGCTTCAAGAGAAGGCGAAAAAATGTAATAAACTTGATATAAACCAAATAATTACTGGATTACATCAGGCTACTTTACCACAATTATATTTAATTAATTACTAAATAATTTGTCACTAGAGGAAGGCGTTAGGTGTTATCTCTTATTAAATGTAACAATTTAGAATATTCTGGAAGAAAAGAATCAGCCCAGAGTGAGACTCAACCTACAATGCCTGCTTACCATGCAGGTGCATTGCCAGTTATGCTACCTGAGCCTCCAGTCCAACATGGTAAGTGGGAGTTGTGTGTTTGAGTCCTGCTCCAGGCCAATTCTTTTCTACCAGAATATTCTAAATTGTTACATTTAATAAGAAATGGCACCTAACGCCTCTCTCTAGTGACAAATTATTTAGTAATTAATTAAATATGATTGTCTTAATGTAATCCAATGTAATCTGGTATTTGTTTAGCTTATTATGTATATATTGGGTTTTGAGTTGTTTGTATTTGTAAACTTGTATACATCATATTTTCAACAATAAACGATTCCATGAGCTAGTTGAATTTTTATTCAGATCATTAAACTGCTATTCCAGTTTCTCTTGTCATCTCTCCTCTCCTTTAACTAGGTTGTACAAAGATTTCCTGCAATGTGTACCTGCATCTTTGTGATTGATGCAACCCCCTAGTTGGCACTTTAAAAATTTCTAAAACTTCTAGCATTCTTGTATAATTATTTTTTAAACACAGTATGTATCATTTCTGCATTTTCTAATTGAGCTTCAACCACCAGCTCTCTTGAGTATCCATGCTAAAGCATGGATACTCAAGAGAGATGATAAAGCAAATAACACAAAAATACATACATAAAATGCAAGAATAACCGTATTAAATGCAAGACAGGCGACAAGATACTTGGCATATACTTTACCATAGATGTGAATGTAATAAAACACTAAGAAACATTTATAGAGAAACATTACAAAGCACAGAAACTTCAATTCTTTACCATCAATACAGACTGTCTGTTACAAAAAAAAAAAAAAAAAATTAAGTGTGGCCATTCCAGCAAGTCTTCTACTCCGCAACAAAGACATTTTCACAAAATTCAAAGACTTTATTCACCAAATTAAGGTGCTCAGCTAACTGGGGGTGTGTGGAAGGTATTCTCCCCATCCCATGGTTTCTATCTTAGCACCAATGTTCTTCGCTCAGGACTTCAAGCGGCCTTAGTTTATGTTACTAGCATCTGCAAGCTAATGTCGGGATCTACTTTTTATTCTGTACAATTTTATTTTGGCTAATTGTAAAGGGCGTATATATGTTCAACCCACCCTAAAGTGTATTTTCTGTTTTAATTGTGCTATGTACTGTACTTTTGATTATTGTATTGCCTATGTAATATTTGGACTGCTGTATCAGTCTTGTATTTGTGATTGTTATCTCTAATATTCGGTTCCCAGCCAGTCCTCATGCGATCCTTTTCCTTTTCTCCCCCATTCCCCCCTTCTCTCCCCGGGCTATATGTATTGGTAAAGCTGTCTCTTTCACAACTGTCAACTGTCTACAAAATATTTCTCTCGGTAGACTATCTTACAACAAGTTGCTGTAAGATAGTCTACTGAGAGAAATATTTTCAGATTAAAGAGACAACCATTCACTGAACGAATATACAGCTACAATTAGTAAATTCAGCATATGTCTACAAAAATTCTGCAAAATGATGATGATAGTAATAAGCACCTCAAGAGTCTCAGACATATATCAAATCCCAATTACAGACAAGAGGGTCGGACAGTTTAGAGTATAGTGGACTGCTAACAGAACTCTATGTAAAGGTTCAGAAAATATAAATATACAATTGACAAGAACAAACTAATTACTACTTTATCAATGTTTGCTACAGAGCCAGGAGTTGAAATTCACTTAAAAAATGAAAAAATGATACATACCATCTTTAAAAATAATCATGTAAGAATGCTAGAAGTTTTAGAAATCTTTAAAGTGGCAATCAGGGCAGGTTGTATTAATCATAAAGATGCAAAAGCACTATCATCCATGCCAGGAAATCTTTATATGACACTTAAAGAAGGAGAAGAGAGATAACAGAAGAGACTGGAATAGCAGTTCAATGATCTGAATCAAAATTCAAATAGCTCTTATATATAAGGAGTCATTTATTAAAGAAAATACAATGTATCTTAAATTTAATATTTTTTTCCCTGCCCTCTCTGCATAGTTTATTTTTGAAATTTTTGTTGTTTATGTACGTTTTATGTATTTTAATGATAATTTGTAATTTTATTTGCATTATGTCATTGGCCATTGGCTGTTGACAATTTTAAATTTAATTTTATAATTTTAAATTGGAACACTTCTGCACAACTGCAGATTTGATAAATGTTCTAATATAGTAGTCTACCTGAACCAGATCTACAAGAGTGATGAAAACATTTGTATGTTCAAGTAAACAGTTGCTGGAACAATAAAAGGTGTTGAAACTGGAATTTATTATTCAATGAATTTAATTTAAGAATAATTTGAATATGAGTCCTGACTGTAGCAACGATAAAAGTGTTGTTGCTACAATTGTAGCAATAACACTTTTATCATTGCTCACAGAACTAATCAGAACTCACATTCAAATTAGTGGAGCTTTAACAGGTCTTGTCATTTTAGCTATCATATTTTCTTGACTCTATAAGTTTAAAATTGAATTTTAAGAATTTTCTAATCAATACAAAAGGAAAAATTATAATATAATCAATTTTATCAAGTAACAAGTTAGAAAAATAATACACATGCCATAAAATAAGTAATGTTTGACAGATGTATTTTCACATGTTTTAAAATACACAATAACAATTTGTTTTAATGCTAAATCATAATATTGCCACGAAGGATTCTTTTATGTTAAAATGGAGTTCAAATTAAATGCTCATCACCAGCTCATTTCATACATTTTAGTTAATCAATTTCAAATATTTTAGTAAATGTAAAATCTAAAAATTAACTATAAATTCCTAACAGTACCTAATAACAGTCCTATCTAACAGTATCTACTGTAAAACCTAAAAAATATTGAACTTACCATTTGTGGATTTTGGAGGAGGCTGCATGATAAAATATTTTTTTCTTCAAGAACTTCAAAACTACAAACAGAATAGTGAATTAGTTCATAATATATAATTTTATTAATAAAATTATAGCTAATCTTTTTGCACTGATACTTTATTTTCTTTTATAAGTTAAATTTTACATTATAAACATTGAAAAATTTTATCTTTTAATGCTATTAATTTTATCAAATTCACTTTTTTTTTAAAGCCAAATGAACTGCCAAATATCAGGCAATGATCAGACTAACGTAATAGTTAAATACGAAGAAATTTGTCTAGAAGTAGGCAGTTTTATGTCTCGTGATAATTTTAATAATAAATTAATTTTAATTTAGAATTTTTGGCCAGAGCTGGACTCAAACCCGTAACTTCTGTTTACCGGGCAGGTGCACTGCCAGATAAGCTGCTCTGATGGGGGTTCGAGTAGCATAACCAGTAATGATAATTCAGCAGTTTGTTAACAACTCCACAAAGCTAGTTTAATCAAAAAGCTTTGTAGAGTTGTTGTTTATATACATTTTCACTTTTTTCTTTTATTCATTTTGCTATTTTTTTTATGTAATCTGTTAAAATAATTATTTTTTAAATTGTTAGAAGTAATCAAATACTTCACAAATCATAAAATGAAATTCATATCACATTTGACTTAATCAATTATTTTTTAAAACTATTCTATTCTAAAGATTGCATTAATTTTCTAAAATAAAAATTTGACTACAGGTACTTTGAAAAGAAAAAACAATTTATGAAATTCAAATTCTTAAAATTGATAAAAAATACCTCAAAATTCTAAAATTTCTAATCTGAAAACAAATATTCTTGGCTTATTTTATTATTTAAGCCTTCTTCAGATCATAAAAACCAAATTTTTTTTGTAATTGAATTTTCTTTTGAATTTTGTTGTTGCAAATTTTTAGTGTTTTAAATAGTTTAGCTTTCTTTTGTATTTTGTTTGTTAAGGGTTATATTGATGTGGGGGAGGAGATCTGTTGTCTTATGACACTTCCTATTGTAAATATAATAAATAAATTTAGATTAAAAATGATAAACTTAAAAACATACTCAAAAAATGACAAAATAAGCAAAAGGTACATTAAAAAATAATAAAAATTGAATACAATTAAGGATGAATTGCACATTTTTATTATCAACTACAAATGAGTGAATATAATAATTGTGTCCTTAAAGTTGTATGCAATCTCCTAAAGCTTTGTGCTTGAAAATTTTATATTTATATTAGAATATGCAATTCATCTTAATTATGTTAAATTTCTACTTTCTGTTTGCTTGCTTAATTTATTTTTGTTTAAATATCATATTTTACTAGTTTATTTTAATAAATTTGAACTAAACTAAATAAATATAATCAGTTAAAATCAAGTTTAAAATATGTTTATATACACATATCAATAAACTTTTAGAAAAATAAATATTTATTTTCATTTATTCATATATAATATTTATCAAGCATTAATGTTTGTTACATTTTAAAATGACAGAATCATACTTTTAAAGATGTAAAAATTAATTATATCAAAACATAAATGAATTAATTTTAATTCATATCAAAGCATATTTAAAACCATTTACATATCCTAAAACAAAAAAATTATAAAATATCAGTATTCAGAGTTTCAATAAACAGTGACAATACAGATTACTGCATATAAAATTTAAATTGTAAAATTACGCTTAAACAAATACTCGTTATATATTAATAATACTTATATTGACCTGTCAAACAATCTTTGTCCATGGTGTAAAACCAATGACTTTTCAATTGATCACTTATTTCAAAAATGTCAAAGTCTTTCAAAAATATGTGAAACTTTTAACATCTCCCGAATACTCCAAAATGACTCATCTCAAGTTTATAGAAATACTTTAAATAATCTGAATAAAAAAGATCTCTACAGTCTGTATAACTTTTTCACTAAAATTACAAAAATGTTGTAAATCTACGCCAGTATATTAAGCTTCCAATATTGTACATCTGCTTATTAATAGTAAATAATAAATTGCAACTGTCAAATTGTTTTATACTAATATCCTATATATTTTGTAAATATTGTAAAAATTTTATAATATCTCTTTGTTTAACCCCCTGCAACAGGGACACTTCCCTTTATGCTAATAAAGATTATTATTATATTTTCAAAAATTTAAATTGTAAAAAACTTTTGATTACAAATTGCATTAACAAAATTAAATGAAATTACAGTAAACTCTTGTTAATCTGAATGCTCAATTATCCAGCATACCCCACTGTGTTGCCCATGTGTTTCCGTGTCCGCAAAAATGTTTTAGTTTTGTCACACACATCTGTATTGTAAAGTATTATATGTCAGCATGCTAAATTATTCGTCTGCCTACCTTCCAAAAAAGAACGAGTACTGAAGAAGGGCAATGGGTCACATCATTCATGTGACTAATACCCTTCAGTACTAGTGAATGATGTAAGAGTTTTGCATATAAAAATGACAACTTATTGACTATATTTAAAATAAATAAATGTCATTTAAATAACCACAATAAATATAGGATTCCAAATACTTAAAACAACTGTTATTACTATTTGCAAATTAGATGCAAGATTTTAGTGTTAAATTCTGGAAAATATACATGCAAGTGGTAGTAGTGAATTCCAAAATTTACAGTTCCTATGTTTCTTTTTTCTAATATCTTATATAATTATATTACAATAATATCAACCTATTAACTATTGACTAATTTAGATATAAACGAAATCCCAAAATCTGATTTTCTTTAATATTTCTTTAATTTGATTATATATAAACATCCCAAAGTGCAATGCATTAACACTAAATCAAACAACTGTAATAATTAATTAGGCTATTTTTTACTACAATTAATATTTATAAATTATGTAATTTAGTACTAGAGGTAGACGTTAGATAAGAGATTTTGTTAAGAGATAGCATCTAACATCTACCTCTAGTACCAAATTACTTAATTTCTAACTGTTAATTGTAGGAAAAAAATAGCCCAATTAATTATGATGATCATTTGGTTCAATTTGATTATTTAATAAATTAGCTTAATTAAAGTTTTAACAAAATCTGGCCTGTTAATGTTTGGCTACCACTAATTAATTTAAAAACTCTTTCTATATTTCAGTTTTTTTATAGTTATATAAACTATTCGCATAACGTTCAAAATTCATTATTATTTTAAATATTTAAAACACTATATTCAAGTTTATAAATTATTAATAATCTGACGAATCACACAACAGCTGGCTTGCTTTTGAACTAACATAACAATTAATATTTTTTTGTTTTTAAACAAGATATTTTCTTTTTTAATTACAAAATTTATTTATTAAAAGTTAATTTATTAATGGAATTTATTTAAACAGAATGAATAACAATACGATTGATTTTTGTTTCATTTACAAAGTAATTTTTTAATCAATTTCTTATTTTTATAATGTTATACAATTTTTGATATGGTCATGTCAACATTTATATAACATAATAAAGATAGAGAACAGAAAAAAACATGTATGTTGAAGAAAATGCAAACTTTGTTATAATTAAAATCTTAAAAAAAAAATATTACACTTGTTTCTCTTATCTAAAATATTAAAAGTTTTAACATTTTAAATGAGAAAAGCTTAAAACGCTTTTCACTTTCCTTTATAAGATACTAATCTTACAAAGGAAACTCTATGGAATATTAATATCCTAAAATATTAATAAATGTAGAGAATTATTAGAAATTTTAACATCTTAAACCGGTGGTTCTAAACCCACAAACTTGTTCCAACATTCCACACAAAAAAATTTTTTTTAAAGTTTTTATTACAAATTTATTCCAATGTACTGTACAACAGCATATTACTTTATTCGTATACAACTACATATTTATTGTTTTATTCAATACAACAAATTTTATTAATTTATTACTTTATTGTTTCATGAGAATAGTAAATATGGAACTGCGTATCAGTTTTTGAATGTATTGATGGCTAATGCTCTGTGTAGTAAAAAATATGAATGATGTTCCATGTTCCATTCTCAGAAATATATGAGATTAAGTATAAGTATAACAAACAATGCAAAGCTCAATAAGTATATAAAATCATCATCAAATGATCGCCTAAATAATCAGGCTATAATTCCACTAAATTAAATAATTAATACAAAGTAATTTACTACTAGAGGTAGTAAACATTAAGCACAATCTCTTAACTAAATTAATAATTATAATTTTAATAATTTATTAAATAATTTAGAACCATCTGGAAGAAAAGAACTGACCCAGGGCAGGGCTTGAACCCCGCCCCACGGTTTGAGATTAATAAAATATTAAAAACTAGTATCATCATTATTAATTAATTAGATAATATTTTTCTTGTATGCTTTCTTGTGATTGATCTACTGCTCTTTATCTACTGATTAAAAACTTTTTAATGTACAGATATTTTTCTTAGTGTATTTTCTTTATACAAGAAAAATATTTCCTGCTTTCTCATATATACATAGAAAATGAAATTATTATGGAAAATGTTTTCAATTTAAAAATACTCACTGCTATCTATCTGCATGTAATACATTTTACATTCTATTATCACATCTTTAAGTGCAATAAATTTAAAATTACCTTAAAATTTTCATATTTATTCGGCCTACTATATTAATATACATTTAAAAAAATATATTTTTACAATTTAACAAATAAAATTCAGTTATAATCCAACATTATACTAAATAAAAGTATTACTTTACTCTTTTTATATATTAAATTTAAAACATTTAATATAAATTTATAAAGAAACTAAGAATACTGACAAAAACATAATCTAAAATTATCGAAATAATTTCAATATAAATGATTACTGTGGGTTCAGTCAGGCATGAAATGAAGCAATGTAATGAGGGACAGGACTTAATATACCCAAAGTAGATTCAATTCAAATTTGAATCTGAATCCTTTAAAGTAGCAGACACACATCTCAGTAACCTTGACTATCCAATTGTAAAATAAAAATGATGGAATAGAATTGTTTC